CCTGATCTGACCCTGATGACCTCAAATCTATCAGATGGACAGGGACTGTTATTTCATTGATCTGAATACAGTCTGAGCCATCTGATGACTTTCTTTCTTGAATTAATCAAGCAGAAAAGACAATTCTCTATGATCATCACTGTTTACAAATGTTTGATAATCAAATGGTGTTAGTTCACTCAATGTTACAGGTTGAAAAGAACTACTCATTTTTATTTCACATAAACAGTAAGTAATGATTTTTATTCCTCATTCAAAGAAGAAATCAGGTTAATATGCATTTCTTGATTTTCTGTCTGAAATGAGCTAAGTTTTGTAAGTATGTGAAAGGTCGGTTTTCGGTCAACTAAAATGTTTACCGAGAAAGATGTCATGTTTAAACTTTTTCAGAAGATTACCAAGAGTTGACTCCATGAAGTCTGCTTTTCTGCAATAATCTCTCTGTCAGTTGTTGAACAATCTCATTCTCTGACCTTGGCTTAGATAACATCTTACGTCACAAAAACACACCTCTTTCTGGTCCATCCACGAATCAGAAAGCTCTCAAGTGAACCCGGAAGTCAACCCATTTAAAATGTGGCAACTTCCCAGTTCATGTTAGAATGGAAAAGAATTCGGGAGATGAAGAACTAGAGAGTTGCTGGAGTTGAAAGATTCTGTTAGAGTCTGAGAAGTTCTGAAGAATGAAAGGAGTTCAGAGTTCTTGGGTGCAAACGCATTCAAGATGTTCCAGAGACGTTTTGGGATTATAATTTCTGTTTGAAAACCACGTACGACTCTCTGAGGGTTTGGTAGTCCTCACGGAGACGCTGAAAAGAGTCAGAAAGGAACCTGCTCCGACGCTGATAATATCATCAACAGGTAGATGGTTCTATTTTCGACCAAGTGTACCGTGGGCAAGCTGATATCTGATGGAGCGTGCACGTTCTGGTCAAACAGATTAATTCCCTCACATATTTCTCTGTAAGATAAATCTCCATTTCATCTTAAAACTCTCCTCTCTCTCATAAAATCAGTACAGATATTTTAGAAATATCTGAAGCAAAGTCCTCAATTACTACCGAGTGATTGAAGTTTGTTATTTGTGAAACTTGTCTGTTATTATTTTCATATTTTGCCAAATTAATGTAAATGTTTGATGTTAAACTTTGATTCTGAAAATAAATGACCGCATTCATTTTGATGGGTCAAAGATAAATAAACGTCTCTCGTTACATTTCTGTTAAATTCAATGTACGACATTACACAGTCAGAAAGATGAGGAACTCGTGAATATTGTATGCATATATATCTCATATATTGTCATACTACAACTAGTGGCACGTACCTACGTGACTACTACAGCAGTTTTAGGAGTTATATTTTGTCATTTTTCAACAATGGACTCAGCATGAGCAGAAGATGAGACAGAAGACCATGGAGAATGTTGTTTTTCACACAAGGCAGCTGATGGCTCCATATGAGCTAATAGAAATTCGTGTTTGTTTACCCTGCTCTATACTCCACTTCCTGTTTGTGGAGTGGGGCCCGGTCTGTTTACATTCACACTGTACTCGAAACGCGCTGGAGTTCTCTTCTACCCGACCGAGACCTAGGTTTTAGCCTGGGCCAGAGTTCGCCTTTTTGTTCCGTGACTGAGTTTGATGGCGTGTTCACACTTCCCCAAATGAACCGGACTTTCTAGGAAAACAAGCTAGAGTTCGATTAAAGCGGACTAAACAGGGCTGGTGTGAATGCACCTTTAACCCCCAGCTGCTCCCTGGGTGCTTTAGATGGCAGCCTGCTCTACATGGGCGCTAATGGCAAATGGTACAATATGAATTTCCTCTATGTATATTAACAGCCTATAGTGTGGGGGAGTGGTGGCGCAGAGGTTAGAGAAGGTGGGCTTGTGGTCGGAATATCGCAGGTTCAAGCCCCGGTACCGACAACATCAAAAATGTGGGTGGGATAGGTGAAGTACCCACACCTGCCCCCACCCTCATTCGTCCCACTCTGGGCCCTTGAGCAAGCCCCTTAACCCCCACCATCTGCTCCTTCGGGTGTCCTAGATAGCAGCTCTCTGCTCCACACAGAGGGCTGTGGTAGATCGGTGGTCTGTGGTTGCGTCAGGAAGGGCATCCGGCATAAAAATAATTGCCAAGTCTTCGTGCGACTTAGTTCGCTGTGGTGACCCCTAACGCAGGGAGCAGCCGAAAGAAGAAAATAAATATATATATTAACAGACTATAGTAAAATAAAATAATTAAAGATCCATCATTAATGGAGAACATTGGTTATTAGTGACAAACCACAGTCAGCTACCTCCATGCCCTCTCTAAGTGCAGCATACATCTCCACTTTGGCCTTCCTCTTTAACTTCCCTGGCAGCTGCCTTTCTAACATCTGGCCTCTCTAACTTTGTTTTAATTTGTGCTGTACCTCTGAACCTCATTCCTTCGAGAAACGAATGAAATACTCCAGCTGACTTGGGGGGAGAGTGTTTGCCTCAGGAGGAAGTGTTCAATTATCTGGGTGTCTTGTTCATGAGTGATGGTAGGATGGAGCACAAGACGGTTTAATGGATTGGGGCCTCGTCTGCAGTAATGAGAGCATTGCTTCGGTTTGTCATGGTGAAGAGAGAGCTGAGTTGAAAAGCAAAGCTCTCGATTTACTGGTCTGTCTACGTTCCAACCCTTACCTATGGTCATGAGGTTGGGATCATAATCAAAAGAAGGAGATCCCGGATACAAGCGGCCGAAATGGGCTTATTTCACAGGGTGGCCGGGATCAGCCTTAGAGATGGGATGAGGAGCTCCGTCATCCGGGGGAAGCTCGGAGTAGAGCCACTGCTTCTCCACGTTGAAAGAAGTCAGTTGAGGTGGTTCAAGCATCTGGTTAGGATTCCTCATGGATGCCTCCTTTTAAATGGACTGTACTTATACAGCACCTTTCTATCTTATTTCAAGATACTCAAAGCTCTTTACAACAATCTGTGTCATCATTTACCCATTCATACAGCACTCTACAAGAGCTCTACAAAGCTAATTGAACAAATCATTGTAAAGAGACTAATTAGTGCTTTAGATCACATTCATACACTGATGGGACACACAACAGAGGCTATGAGGGGTTCAGTGTCTTGCCCAGGGACACTTCAGCATGTGACTGCTGGTGGATTTGAACCCCCAACTCTTGCATTGGAGGACGACTGCTCTAACTACTCAGCCACAGCCGGGGTTTTCCAGGTACGTCCCACTGGTAGGAGGCCTTGGGGAAGACCGAGAAAACTGTGGCATGATTGTGGTCTTCTGTGGTCTGTGAATGCCTTGGGGTCCCCCAGAACGAACTGGAAAGTGTCGCTGAAGAGAAGAATGTCTGGGTTTCTCTCCTGGACCTGTTGCCTCCACGACCCAATTACAGATAAGCAGTAGAAGATGGATGTATGTATGACTGATGATCTGAAGATCCTAATCTTATCCATGTTCAAACAACTACTTTTAGCATTTTGCTACTGTAGCATGAAGAAGACCTTCTTTTTTACATCTGACCTAAAATCACATTTTAGTGACAGTTCAAGTTTATTCTATTTAAAATTCATTATAACCTGAATAAGTCCTGGTTAGTCAGAGTCAGAGTCAGAGTTTCTTTATTGTCATTCGCACCTCATGTGGTACATGTGGTGGAGCGAAATTATGTACACAAGGTCCCAGTTACATCCAACAATAAAATGTATAAGAAAAACAATAATAACATCTAAGATATGAACTAAGAAAAACATCAACTAAATATACACTAAGCACTCATAACATAAAACATTGAACATCAGCACAAACATGAACATGAGTCTGTGAGCAGATGTGCACGCATGAACACATCAACATTGAAACAGATCAGCAGCAACATGAAACAGATCAGCAGCAACATGATATGGTTTTTCACAGTGATTATTCTAGTTAGAGAGTCATGAGTCTAACAGCCTCAGGGTAGAAGCTGTTCCTCAGTCTAGTGGTTCTAGACTTAATGCTCCTTAACCTCCTTCCTGAGGGGAGTGGGGCAAAAAGTGTGTGTGCTGGGTGAGTGGGGTCCTTCATGATGCAGGTGGCCCTCTTCCTGCATCTAGAGGTGTAGATGTCTGTGATGGTGGGGAGGCTGATTCCGACAGATTTCTGTGCAGCCTTCACCACTCTCTGCAAAGCTTTTCTTTCTGCAGCTGTGCAGCCTCCATGCCACACATTGATGCTCGAGCACAGGATGCTCTCCACTGCACACCTGTAGAAGGAGGTGAGGACTGAGCTTCCCAGACCAGCTCGCCTCAGCCGTCTGAGGAAGTAGAGTCTCTGATGAGCTTTCTTGATCAGGTTGGTGGTGTTGTTGCTCCAGCTGAGGTTGTCATTCATGTGTACACCCAAGTACTTGTAGCTGGAGACCACT